CTACCGCTAGCTTTAAAAAGAAATATAAAAGTTAAACCATAAGAAAGATCAAACAATAAAATTGAAAACATTTTAAGAAGTAAAAAAGTGTTTTGACTTACATGAAGTGTCAAATTTAATAAAGATGGAGTGGGAGTGGGCAACTGGCTGATTGTTTGGGGTTGAATGTGAGATGCCTGAGTAAACTCCCATTTTTTTTAATGATCAAGTTTAAAATTCATTAAACGTATGAGTTACAAATAAGGTTTACTTTTATGTAAATCATTTCTATTGTTCTATATTTAGAATAGAATCAATATATTTACTACTAGCAACCATTGTGAAACACGCTCAAAATTATTTTAATTCTGTCTTTTGAAACAATGGCAGCATACGACACAATTAAACTGTATGCGCTATTGTCAAATTGACTTTATTGAATTCACTGTATGCAAGCCATTTGTAGTGTATCATGGCAGCCATAATATATTAAATTAAAATAGAGATCCGTTAATCATATATGTACAGCATTTTTCATATTTATTTGCATTCGGTGTCTCCAATGTGATGGATATTTTAAGGATTTCACTTTTTTCTATTTTAGGTGATTTATATATATATATATATATATATATATATATATATATATATATATATATATATATATATATATATATATATACAAATACAAATACAAATACATACACATGCACATGCACATGCACATGCACATGCACATGCACATGCACATACACATACACATACACATACACATACACATACACATACACATACACATACACATACACATACACATACACATACACATACACATACACATACACATACACATACACATACACATACACATACACATACACATACACATACACATACACATACACATACACATACACATACACATACACATACACATACACATACACATACACATACACATACACATACACATACACATACACATACACATACACATACACATACACATACACATACACATACACATACACATACACATACACATACACATACACATACACATACACATACACATACACATACACATACACATACACATACACATACACATACACATACACATACACATACACATACACATACACATACACATACACATACACATACACATACACATACACATACACATACACATACACATACACATACACATACACATACACATACACATACACATACACATAAAAAATATATACATATACACATACGCATATGCCAGCACATGCTTATACACTTATGCATATATACATACATAAATATTCATTCATTCATTCATTCATTCGTTTATTTGTTCATCCATTCATACTTTCATCCAGTGTTTGTGTGTTTGTTTTTTTGTTTATAAATTAATGAAATTAATGAAATTAATGAAATTAATGAAATTAATGAAATTAATGAAATTAATGAAATTAATGAAATTAATGAAATTAATGAAATTAATGAAATTAATGAAATTAATGAAATTAATGAAATTAATGAAATTAATGAAATTAATGAAATTAATTTAATTAATTTAATTAATTAAATTAATTAAATTAATTAAATTAATTAAATTAATTAAATTAATTAAATTAATTAAATTAATTAAATTAATTAAATTAATTAAATTAATTAAATTAATTAAATTAATTAAATTAATTAAATTAATTAAATTAATTAAATTAATTAAATTAATTAAATTAATTAAATTAATTAAATTAATTAAATTAATTAAATTAATTAAATTAATTAAATTAATTACATTAATTAAATTAATTAAATTAACTAAATTAATTAATTAAATTAATTAAATTAATTAAATTAATTAAATTAATTAAATTAATTAAATTAATTAAATTAATTAAATTAATTAAATTAATTAAATTAATTAAATTAATTAATTCCATTAATTTCATTAATTTCATTAATCAATTAATTTTTAGCAGCTGTACACATTTTAACAAAATTTGCACTCACTAAGTAAAGATGACAAGTCTGTCTTTTAGCCCAAGGTGGTGTGTCTGGCCTAAGCAGCGACCGTTATGTTTCCGTCTTCAACCTAACTCTACTGCCACTTGATGAAACATACACAGCAAAGAGTAACCTTATGTGTGCTGCCAAATGTGCTGAGAAGAAAAATGATTGTTATAATTACATGTATGACACGGCCAGCAAAACGTGTACGCTAGGTGAGCTCATGGTAAAATTTCAATTACCATTGACACATGTATGCTGTTATGTTGAATGCGTGTATTTAAATAATTTCCTTTCTTTACTAATGAGTGCATTAATGTCTACGTGGATAAGTATTTTTTGTCGTCAGGTTACTGGCTTCTCCCCGTGTCTGCCCTCAACACGTCCCAACCAGCAAGCACCACTAGACTTTACAGCAAGGGAATGTACTGCAATGTACAAGAGTTGGTGACGCCTGTAGGAAATGGGAGGATGAGTTCGTGTCACACAGCGGCGTGTTTAGGTTCGTATATTTATTCAATCATATACATAAACAGACATACACAAACTAACGCAGACAAATGACTACGGCTAGGTTAGCAGTGATAAGAACGTTGCCTTAAAGTTAAAAAAAAAAACAGGTGATTTTGACACGTAAAAATATTTTTTTCGCTCGGATAACGAATAGTTACTAATAATTACGAATAATTACTAATAGTAATAGGAATAAAAAAAATCAATAAATAATTAAAGTTCAAACTATTTACAATTAATTTATTAAGGATTTTAAAAAATACAAAGTCTGCTAGGGGACCGAACCCGCAACTTAAGAGGCTTGATATCACTCTATAGCCTCTGACACTGTGTCACATAACATAGAAGCGAATATATTCTATTTGACACGCCTAACCCCAAGAATTATTTTATTTGACACGCCTACCCCAAAGAATTATTTTATTTGACACGCCTACCCCAAAGAATTATTTTATTTGACACGCCTACCCCAAAGAATTATTTTATTTGACACGCCTACCCGAAAGAATTATTTTATTTGACACGCCTACCCCCAAGAATTATTTTATTTGACACGCCTACCCCAAAGAATTATTTTATTTGACACGCCTACCCCAAAGAATTATTTTATTTGACACGCCTACCCCCAAGAATTATTTTATTTGACACGCCTACCCCAAAGAATTATTTTATTTGACACGCCTACCCCAAAGAATTATTTTATTTGATACGTCTACCCCCAAGAATTATTTTATTTGACACGCCTACCCCCAAGATTTATTTTATTTGACACGCTACCCCCAAGAATAAATTCTTTTGACTTGCCTACCACCATGAAGTGAAGCCAGTTTTAACCGTGAAGTAAAATTACACAAAATTTTATTTACAGTTAAATTTCATCCTGATTTTACGTATTGCGTTGCTAAGTAACACGTAAAGATTCAAGGTCTGACATAGATAAGTAAAATCCTCAATTCTTTATTGCGTTTTTTTTAAACTAATTAATATTGGCTTAGATGCTACTTTTTCACCGACAGAAAAATAGCTTCAGTTGAGCTTATGAATAAATATATTCATTATTTTCTGGAATTAGAAGATCCGCCGAATATATATTATTGAAACTTATTATTATTATTATTATTATTATTATTATTATTATTATTATTATTATTATTATTATTATTATTATTATTATTATTATTATTATTATTATTATTATTATTATTATTATTATTATTATTATTATTATTATTATTATTATTATTATTATTATTATTATTATTATTATTATCGAGACCCTCGGGTTAGCAGTCTAGCTCTCTACCACTAGGCCACGCAGTCCCTAGATTATAGCGATAGCCGAAAGAAAATAAAGCTATATAATACACTAGCCGTCCTAGCCAGGCCGTGCACTGGTCACCGTGAAAAAACCTGTCTATAAATGACCATGACTTGTGTGTTTTTTAAGCAGAATATATAGGCCTACGCGGCATTTCCAGGTTTAAGAAATCTATTACTTTTCCAATTAAATGTCTATGGGCGTTTGAGAAAATAACATATAACCCTAAACCTAACTCTAACTTAAAACTTTAAAAAGAAAAAAAAAACAAATTAAAAAAAAAAAACAAATATCAGACTAGCCGTCCCGGCCAGGCCCTGCAATGGCAATTGAGGTAAATGTTTTTTGTAAACGGCCATGACGTATGCTCTCATTAAGCTTCCTATATCCTGCACTGCATGGTGTTTGGGAATTTATAAAATATTCAAAGGCTTTCTTAATGTAAATAAAGATGTTAGTTTGATCCTTCTAAACAAAATTAATATTCTATTTAAATTATCACTTAAAAAAGAAAGCTATAAGAGCAACTAAGTTTTTTTTTTTTCAAAAAAAGTAGACTTAGCAGTTTTTGCAAATATCTTTTTCAAATATCAATTTTTATAGATAATATAATTTTCACACCTATTTGAAATTTGCGTAGATAAAATTTTACAAACTTTCTCTTTTATCCACATGTTTTATCCGTTTTTTAAATTAAATTAAAGAACCGGAGCAGTTAAAAGTTAAAATTCCTGACGCAGTAATATCCTTTTATGTAGGTATAATCAGAGTTTCTTCCAGGCATCTCTTTACCGCCCCCCTCCCTCCCCGAACGAAATGAAATTTATATAATTTATATAGAAAATATATACTTTTAACAGTGTCCGCCCCCCGAAGAAAGTTTACCGCCCCCCCCCCTCCCCGAAAATTTCAAGTGCCCCCCCGGAGAAAAAAGTCTGGAAGAAACACTGGGTATAATTAAGCGGTAAAACTTATAAATTTTGTATAGAAATTCACACTTATTTCAAAATATAGATATATATTTGACAGTATCGCATTGTTACTTATAGGACTGGTAAACAATGGAAATGAATCAGTTCTTGTAGCCCAAAGTCCAGACGTCTACAGATCCTGTAAAGAAGTGAAGAACTCCACAAAACCAAGACAACTGGTCCAACTGTCGTCTGGTCTTGTCGTCATGTGTGACACAGTGACAGATGGAGGGGGCTGGACAATTTTTCAACGTCGTGTCACTGGGATCGTCGACTTCTACAGAAACTGGACGGAGTACAAGAACGGCTTTGGAGATTACGGCATTGGTGATTTCTATCTGGGCAATGAAAACATTTACTGTCTTAGTTTAAAATATTTCTACGAGATGCGTTTCGATATGACTTACAAAGGAAACAACTATTACGCCCGTTATTCTACTTTTAGTTTTCTTTCAGAAAGTCAGGGTTATAAAATATCGGTCAGCGGATATTCAGGCACAGCTGGGGATTCATTTTCCATTTCAAACAACAACATGAAGTTCAGCACTTATGACGTTGATAATGATCGGTTTTCCGGTGGTCACTGTGCTGCCGGTTACCGTGCCGGGTGGTGGTACGCGGCGTGCCACGACACAAATCTGAACGGCGTTTGGGGCAGTTTGCAGTACGGCACTGGTCTGTTTTGGTACGGGATTACCACAGACTACGACGGCGTGGATAGCTGTGAAATGAAGATAAGACCGGTGCGCTAGAATACGATACTATCTTTGTCACGTGACACTATCTTTTTTACGTGACACGATTCTTGTCACGTGAAACTGTCGACGTTGACATGTCGCAAAGTACATCACTACTGTCCTGTACTAGTCACATCACTACTGTCCTGTACTAGTCACATCACTACTGTCCTGTACTAGTCACATCACTACTGTCCTGTACTAGTCACATCACTACTGTCCTGTACTAGTCACATCACTACTGTCCTGTACTAGTCACATCACTACTGTCCTGTACTAGTCACATCACTACTGTCCTGTACTAGTCACATCACTACTGTCCTGTACTAGTCACATCACTACTGTCCTGGTTAAGTCACATCACTACTGTCCTGTACTAGTCACATCACTACTGTCCTGTACTAGTCACATCACTACTGTCCTGTACTAGTCACATCACTACTGTCCTGTACTAGTCACATCACTACTGTCCTGTACTAGTCACATCACTACTGTCCTGTACTAGTCACATCACTACTGTCCTGGTTAAGTCACATCACTACTGTCCTGTACTAGTCACATCACTACTGTCCTGTACTAGTCACATCACTACTGTCCTGTACTAGTCACATCACTACTGTCCTGTACTAGTCACATCACTACTGTCCTGTACTAGTCACATCACTACTGTCCTGTACTAGTCACATCACTACTGTCCTGTACTAGTCACATCACTACTGTCCTGTACTAGTCACATCACTACTGTCCTGTACTAGTCACATCACTACTGTCCTGTACTAGTCACATCACTACTGTCCTGTACTAGTCACATCACTACTGTCCTGTACTAGTCACATCACTACTGTCCTGTACTAGTCACATCACTACTGTCCTGTACTAGTCACATCACTACTGTCGTGGTTAAGTCACATCACTACTGTCCTGTACTAGTCACATCACTACTGTCCTGTACTAGTCACATCACTACTGTCCTGTACTAGTCACATCACTACTGTCCTGTACTAGTCACATCACTACTGTCCTGTACTAGTCACATCAACTGTCCTGTACTAGTCACATCACTACTGTCCTGTACTAGTCACATCACTACTTTCCTGTACTAGTCACATCACTACTGTCCTGTACTTGTCACACCACTACTGTCCTGTACTAGTTACATCACTACTGTCCTGTACTTGTCACATCACTACTGTCATGGTTAAGTCAAGTCACTACTGTCCTGTACTCGTCACATTACTTATGTCCTGTTTGAATATGGCAGGCGGCTGAGAATAATCACATAAGGTAGCGCTCGTGCGAATACAAAAGATACAAATATTTTTGTTCCGTTGATAGCTCGGCGTTTTTTCCTTTCAACCCCTAACCCTAATATACAAATTTTATAAATTCTCACCAGGATTGTCATCCAAGATCTACCACTGTACCGCTGTACCACTGTAATTCTGTACCACTGTACCGCTGTACCACTGTACCACTGTAACACTGTACCACTGTACCACTGTAACACTGTACCACTGTAACACTGTACCACTGTAACACTGTACCGCTGTAACACTGTACCGCTGTAACACTGTACCACTGTACCAAATTTCAGTTCAATGAGACAATGGGAAGTAGGTTCAATAAAGATTCCAAGATTTGCTAGCCATACAGCCACACTACTGAGTAGCTAAATATAAACCTTCAAAATAGAATATCTCAAAAGAATCGAATTAATAGCAGTCAACCTATAGCAGTGGTGTAGCCAGGATCGTATCATGGGGGGGGGGGGGGAGGGTTCAATTCTTTTCCAACATTATACATATATATATATACTAGATTTTAAATTAATTATTTAAACCATTTCCTAATTAATAATTTTACCCATTTCATAACAATAATATCACGAGACAACTAATCACAAAACAGTTTGCTCTAACTCATTTCGGGCTAGATATATTCGTGTTTAAAAAAAGTTTGTATCTCATTTATTCTTTTTTTTAAAATACTTTTATTTTCAATTAAAATAAGTAACACCAATATGAGTGTGAGTGCATTTGTCTATAGTAACATTTATAAAGGATTTACTGCAAAACAATTTACATAAAATTTACATAGCTTTACACATAATTGCATAAAACATCTAACATTTACAGAATTCTAAACAAATCGGAGAATTTACAACCTGAATTAAGGCAAGTGAAAGGAAAAAAGGAATAGGTTGAAAAATGGATGAGGAGTGGGTTCATAGGGACGATGTCGATCAGAATTGGGTGGGGGGGGGGGGGGGTGGTTCAACAATTTAAACAAAGGCTGGTTTTAAACATTTTTTACATAAAAGAGGCTGAAAATGTATATCGTGGTGTAAAACAAAGGCTGGTCAAAAATATAACGCTAATATGATGTGTATTCTCCACACATATAAACATACAATTAAGTAGAGTCCCTCACGTTTTGAACAATTATATAAAACCCCTACCCCCCTGTCACAGGCTTTTTGTGTGACTGGGTTCACGATATAAACTTGTCACAGGCCTTTCTCCTACCTTTTATATTACATATACATAAATCAAAAGACAAGCCTTCATCTTGCAAGTTTTCATATTTATTTTGTTTAACACAGGCATCGTGTCCACACCGACCTAGCCATTTTCTCGCCTCTTCCCTCTTGTTCCTTTCGCGCATGCGCACAGCCACTGTCTCCCTGATGCAATACACACACACTCCCAAGATACAATCTACCAACATTTCACTGTTATACCCCCCCCCCCCACTGCCAACACCACGGACCTACGGTGCACAGTTAATAACTGCAGATATACAGTAGGCCCCTATAGTTGTATGATTTTTTTCCAAAATGGCGAACAACTTAATTCTACTGTGAAGTTTTCAATATTAGCTCAAGTAAAATCAGTTCTGAAAAATTTATCAATACATTCAATTCACAAAATTACGTTTTATCTACTACTTCTAAATTTTAAAAAAAAATTGAATTTTGATGTGTTTTAATTATTTTAAATAGAAAATTATGGTTGAGCTCGGTAAATAAATATTCCTGGTTAGGTGATTACCACTCGTCTTTTGAAATCAAATTCTTCCGTTTAGCGAGTGTGATCTGAAATATAACGACCTCTGACCTCGAGTAACTTTTGGTAGGCGATGGGTAGCGTGTAGATGATGGGGTTGACGGCGGAGTTGATGGGTAACACGACGACAGCCAGCCAGCCGTACACGTCTGGACTAAACACGTGACCTGTGGCCGACATGAGACCGACGACACAGATGGGCAGCCAACACAGGATGTTGGACACGGCCACCATGGACAGGTTCTTGGCCACCGTAATCTCACGTCTCTTGTGAATTGAGGTGCTGGTCAGTAGGTCAGGTGACAGGGAGATGAACTTAAAGATCAAGATTTGGCCTAAAATGGTTAGAAACATCAAGACAAAATTGATGATGATGTAGAGGACTAAAGCAAAGACCCAGCCGATGGGGTGCGTCAGGTTGACCGTCAGCCCTAGACACATTGCGTTGGATGAGTAGACCTGCCAGTCAGGGAACACGAGCGGCACCAGCGATACAACGACGCCAACGGTCCAGACCACAGCAACAACACAGAGTAAACTGTTTGAGTTGAATCTGGGCAGGGCGAGTGGGTTTTTGAAGATAAAGTATCGGTCCAATGTGATCAGTAGCACATACAGGGTGGAGGTCTCGCTCGACAGGGTAGCGAGAAAACCTGCGGCCTTACACAGTGAACTGTCCCGCCATTCTGTGTCATACAACACGTAGTCGTCCCGGTAGTAAACATCAGCTCCTGCTATGATCAGTAGATACACGCTCATTGTGAAATCTGATAAGCCAAGGTTTGTAACAAAAAATCTGTAGCCTTGCTTGAGAACATTTTTCTCATAAAAAATTCTATAGCCAATGACAACGACATTACCAATGGAACCTACAAGCGCCACCAACCATATCAGCGTACGTTTGACCACATCACCGAGAAGATGGTCGCAGGATGATATGGCGTCACTTGGTGCGTTACATGTATGAGAGGGTATACCCGGACCTTTGAACTTCGCACAACACAGCTTGTAGCTGTCCCCATAGATCTCAGACTTGATACTAAACTTCCTCAGCATCGCTGAAGTCCTCATATTCCAAATGATTTTTGTATTCCTAATGTCCAGTACGTTAAACGAAATGTTTCTGTCGAACCAGTCCATATGGTTGACGGCAGTAAAACTTAGGTTTAAATAACTGAAGGCAATGTCTCGGGACGAATAAAATCTGATGGACTGAAGTGACGTCATGGCGAGTTGCACGCTCTCAATGTTCGGCATCAAAGACATTCGAATTACGAGGGAACTTATTTTCGTATGAGTTGCGTTTAAAATGCGTAGATTCCTAAAAAAGGCGGAAAAAATCTCAAAGTTTTCGAATTGGACATTGTTGTAGCTCACGTCAAGTTTGTATGTGTTATACAAGCCAGATTTGGCCGACAAGAGAAATTGGCTGAGGACATGGTCGTTGAGGCTGCAGTTAGACACGTGGATGGCTAAAAGTTTTCTAAATTTCAAATGTACAGGGAGAACAACTCTCGTCAGATCTAGGCCAGACAGATCCAGAACGAGGGTCCTTTCTTCCAGAGACTGAAACATGCTCTGGTAGTCTACACTAGTGCTGTCTGTGACTTTAGCCACGCCCCAGAAACACGTGACTCCCGCCGGACATGTCGCGTGACAGAGCGACTCGTCGTCTCCAAAAGGACAGTGTGTCTTGCCGTCACAGTGGTGGACTGGGTGGATGATGCGTTGCTCGCCCCTACAAAAGAAAAAGTCGCTGTTGTAGTTGACCCGGGTAATGGCGAGCTCATCCTCCCCGTGGGGGCAGTCCTTTGTCCCGTCATGCAGCAGGTAGGCGGGAACACAGTAGGAGTTGAGACATTTCGAGAAGCCGGCAGGACAGGAGAACTCTTCGCAGTCCAGCAGGTGGGACATGTCCTCGCAGCCCAAGATGGTGTTGCTGTAGCGAGC